TCTGTGATAGTACCATTCCCTACTCCACCCCCTTGTTTCTTTTCAATAAATAATTTTTTTTTCTTTTCAATAAATGGATTTTTTGGCTTTGAAAACATTCTTTATTATTGCATAAAGTAAAAGACTCCTTAGCCCAGGAAATAAACAGGCACTGCAAGTCTGCTTAGCAAACACCGATTCCTAAAGATGGGAACTACTGCACTTCACTCCCGTGCAGGGCACCAGATATCACTGCTGGTTTTCAGCCTCAAATTGCTCCCTCAAGGCATCCCTAATCCTTGCAGCCCCGCGCTGGGCCCCTGTAATAGCTCTGCTCTCTGGCTGTGCAAATTCAGCCTCCAGGTGTTGAACCTCAGAGGTCCATGCCCGAGTGAAGCTTTCACCCTTCCCTTCACAAATATTATGGAGGGCACAGCACGCGGATATAACCGCGGGGATGCTGTTTTCGGCCAAGTCCAGCTTCCCATACAGAGATCGCCAGTGGGCCTTTAAACGGCCAAAGGCACACTCCACAGTCATTCGGCACCAGCTCAGCCTGTAGTTGAACCGTTCTTTGCTGCTGTCAAGGCTCCCTGTGTAGGGTTTCATGAGCCACGGCATTAACAGGTAAGCGGGATCTCCAAGGATCACAATGGGCATTTCAACTTCCCCTACCGTGATCTTCCGCTCTGGGAAAGAAGTCCCAGCCTGCATCTTTCTGAACAGCCAAGTGTTCCGAAAGATGCATGCATCATGCACCTTTCCGGGCCAGCCTGTGTTAATGTCAATGAAACACACAGTGATCCACAAGCGCTTGGAGAACCATAGAGAAATACCCCTTCCGATTAATGTACTCGGATCCTAGGTGGGGTGGTGCCAGAATAGGAATGTGCATCCCATCTATCCTCCCTCCACAGTTAGGGAACTCCATTTGTGCAAAGCCATCCACTATTTCCTGCACGTTACCCAGAGTCACGGTTCTTCTGAGTAGGATGCGATTAATGGCCTTGCAAACTTGCATCAACACGATTCCAACGGTCGACTTTCCCACTCCAAACTGGTTTGCGACCGACCGGTAGCTGTCTGGAGTTGCCAGCTTCCAGATTGCAATAGCCACCCGCTTCTCCACTAGCAGGGCAGCTCTCAATCTCGTGTCCTTGCGCCGCAGGGTGGGGGCAAGCTCCTCACACAGTCCCATGAAAGTGACTTTTCTCATCCGAAAGTTCTGCAGCCACTGCTTGTCATCCCAGACTTCCATGACAATGTGATCCCACCACTTGGTGCTTGTTTCCCGAGCCCAAAAGCGGCGTTCCACGGTGCTGAGCATGTCCATGAATGCCACAAGCAATTTCGTGTCGTGCGCGTTACGCGGCTCGATAGCATCGTCAGACTCCTCACTCTCACTGTCACTTTGGATCTTAAGGAATAGTTCGACAGCCAAACGTGATGTGCTGGCGAGATAAGTCAGCATATGCCTCAGCAGTTCGGGCTACATTTCCCGCAGACAACAGATCGCGCTGCACAGAAACCGTTGAAAGATGGCGTCAAAGGTGGATGGAAACAAAGGGATTTCTGGGATGCGAAGTGATGCATCACGGGGCGTTGGGACAGGACCCAGAATGCCCCGCACCCACGCCCCCTTCCCACAACCCATGGCGCCAGAACGGGAAGAGGTGCTCTGTGGGATAGCTGCCCATAATGCACCGCTCCCAATAGCGCTGCAATTGCCGCAAATGTGGCCACGACAGTGCGCTGGGCAGCTGTCAGTGTGGACAGACTGCAGCACTTTCCCTACTCAGCTGCACGAAGTCAGGTTTAACTCACAGCGTTGTACATCTGCAAGTGTAGCCAAGGCCTTAATTTTAAAACTCTAACCAAGAATACCACATTTTTCCTAAGAGATGGATGAAGTCATCTTATATAAAGAATCTATGAAATACTTAGGAATAATTCTGGATTAACTATATTTATAGTGGTACTGTTATTACCACTATCACTTTTTTTTTGGATTGACAATTACTATGCACTTTTAGATCAAATCCAAGCACTTGTTGTCAGGAATGTTCTGTTAAAAATTAAAGAAACGAATGAGTAAAGGAAATGCCATTAATTCAATTACCTGTCTAATGTAAGATAGTTCTTGAAAAGCACATCACACTTAGCTTTCAAGATAACTAAGTAAAGATTTCCTAAAGAATCTTAATATGTAAGTGAGGAAAAAGTTGTGCTTCCCTCAAAATATTCAAAACAAAAGAGTAAGAGAGGAACTAAATTAACTTTATGAGTACTGTTACAAATACGAATTGGCAATGATACAACATAAATCCCAAAACAGGTGTTTGTAGGTGGAAACAAACACTTGAAATATTGGAAAGAACAAAAACTCCACAAATCAAAAGCAAATAAACAAAAAGCCCACAAATACATCGCATATTTATTATACAAGGGCTGTCACTCAATGAAATTCTGTATTGTATTAAGTACAGAATCAATCCTTATTTGGAGAAGTGTCTGAAAGAGTATACCCACTGAACAATTCAGTAAATAACAGGGATTGAAAGTAAGTAGCCCACTTGTTTTCTTAAAGAGATATGGCCATTTTAATAGTCTTATGGAATTCCTGAAGAGTGGGTCTGGGTCTACGGAATAAATGGATACCGAGATCATGTGGGGGAAGGTTGTAAAGATATTTAGCCCCTGGAAATTATCACAACCACCAAGCTGGAAGCAGGCTACTGAATAAGGCATGCTGTAGAAGAACAACTTCTGCTGTAAATGCCACCTGAAGAAGTCATTAAGCAAGTGACTGTTCACTCTGCTGAAGAGGGAATATTAGCTGGGTTTATAAAGACATAGGACTAGTTATTTTACTCTATTGATCATGTGTTGCTGTGGCATTGTCTAAAAATCCTATGGCGACTGTTTAAAAAAAAAAAAAAAAAAGCAAGTTTCCACGCTCTGCTCAACCAACTCATCACAGACCTTAATCGCATGACAGCTAGGAGTGGATACAAGAAATCCTCTGGATTGCTGTACGAGGATTCGCCTTTTCTCATAAAACTTTGGCCTCATCCTACTCCTGTGGATGGCAAAACTAGCAGAACTGCTCTATTCAAGGCTGAAAATATGGAAGAACAATTCGTGCATTTTTTGGCCTTGTACTTGCTCTCTACTCTGTCATCCTACTGCTGGAAATAATGTGGGGAGAAAGAAGTCCTGACTCAGAAAGCTCAGCCTTGCTTCAAAGACGACTGCCAAATTAAGAGCTTGTCTACACAGCATGGCAAAACATGCCAGAGGGATGTGATCTGACGAGGCCTGCATCAACAACTTCTCTGGCAGGAAGAGTTTCAGTCTCACCTCTCTCGCCTTCTGGGTACGCTTGGAAAATGAGTAATACATAATGTGCTCTTCCACAAGGCAAATGAATCACTAAGGATCCCCATCATTTATAGGCATAGTGGAGTCACACAAGTAACAGGTCTTGTAGATTGGTAACTCCGCCTCTATCATCATCTTAGCACCCTTATACAGAGGGTTGTCTACGCTAAAGGATACTTAACTGACCTAAACAACTATTTTTTTAAAATATATATGCCAACAGGCAAAAGGAAATTTAGTTTATCAACTAAAACTAATTAACTAATCAACTAGTCCTAAAATCTAAGGTGAAAGGCACAGTGTCCAAGAGAAGTGGATAATGCCAAGGGTTGCTACCCAAAAATAATCTGATCGCACACACACCTGTAATCCATGTGCACCAAAAGCAGAATCTATATGCACAATCACCTGAAGAACTATAATTGAGAACTATATAGAGAAGATAGTTAGCATCAAACTAGATTTTGGCCATGTCCACAAATCGTAGATTTCAGCCCATTAAGTTAGTTCAGCAGAAGATACTGAAGGTAATAACCTTCTATTATGGTTTACACATTTCTAATCTCTCTCTTAATAAAGTGGACAAAAAGAAAGTTATTTGATTGTCTTAGTTAGCATATCCAAAAGAGGAAGATTTTGAAACCAATAGATAATACTTCAAATTGAAGATCAAGGATATTTACATTAAAAAGGCATACTATGTTTCAATAATCCTTCAGGGAAATTTCTATATCCAGCTTAAAATATGTAACTTTGATTCACATGAAGAGTCCTGTGTTGAGAAAAACGTTCTAAATGTATTCCAAAGGCATTACAGCCTTCATTGCTAAACGCTGAAGCAGACTTGTTAGCAAAAACCCTCTAAGGTGAAGGAAGGGATGCTTGTCTGCCCAAAATTCACCATGAAGTCAACATACAACTCAGACATCCTCAATTATAGCACTAAAAGAAAATGACAAAGGGGGAAGAAGGCAATCTCATTGCTTACCTCAAAATTCTGTACTACAGACTTTTGTTGAAGTAAATTCAGCCTCTGAAGGGCTGTCCTTGAGCATCTTGTAAAAGAGTCAGTGAAATAGCTGAATTTGTCCATATAGAAAGCTCAAAAAATTTGTTTACTCCCATTCCACTATTCACCTACGAACCATCTGGCCCTGAACATTCTACTAGCAGACTGAGAAGTCTGTCCAGATTGCCAAAGATAACTGTCACCCATTAGGATCTGGAGATTCCCAAAGGGCCTGAACAAAAAACAAACAAAAAAATCCATTGAAAATGGATGGTTCAGCCTTGATGGTATTGAAGGAAAACATGTTACTAGTCTGATCCAATGGGATCACAGGTAACAGATCACACAATAAGATTAGCCCTGGCAATTTCATCAACCAATAGTTTAAAAAAAGGGGGGGGTTGAGAGGGGACAGAAGAGAAGACACCCACATTCCAAATGCATTGATCCTAAAAAGTCTCCATCTGCTTAAAAAAAAAAAAAAAAAGCAAGTAATTCCAGGATCCAGACAGATACAGAGGTAAAATGGAATGTTACATTTTTAATCTAATGAAATGCAATGGCCCAAACTGAAAGCTCTTTTTTTTTTTTTTTTACAGCATGCTTTCAAAACTGGTCAATAAAATCTTACCCCAGAAGAATTTTGGCATGAACTTCTTTGTTAGTCCTTGAGATTTCCCTCAGAGAGGTAATTTCTGCATCAAACCAGAATCCTCTCTCTTCTGGAGTCTCTACATTGTAGTTAACCATCACCATATCACCCACATTGAGTTCACTCCACTTCAAAATGGTTCTTGCTCGTGGTCGAAGATTATTGGCACGCATTTCTACTATACCATTCTCTGGATACCTTGGGAGGGGGAAAAAGTTACAAATTAGTACTTCCACTATTATATGAAATAAATCAAAGGGTAAAATTTTAAAAAGTGCCTCAAGTGACTTAAGAGCCTGAGTCCCATTTTCAAAAGTGATTTGGATTCCTAAATCACTTTTGAAAATAGGATTTATGTTATTTTGAAATGTTTGCTTGTTCTATGACTATGGTCCTTGCTACCTGGGATTTGAAAAACAGTTTTAATCAAAACCACAAAGAATCACGCTTATGTAAGAGTTTGCTAGAAAGATGCTAAAAAATTTTCAAATCTGAGTACTAACCTGTCCCAGTCTTGCTCATACACGGGTCAATAGGAAAATTCCCAAACATGCCCACAGTGAAAAGAGACAAAGATTAGTATCTTGAAAATCCCATTTCTAGTCTAACTCTACCCCCATTAAAGTCAATGGCAAAATTCCCATTGACTTCAATAGCAACACAGTTTTTGAAAATCCAACCCTACATATACAGACAGCATTTACCAACAAAATTATGCAAGATGAAGATAGCATAGGAAAAAAGTATACATTTGTTTATCCCTCTGCTTCCACATCAGTAGTAAGTAGAATGGTTCTGAAATTCCACAGACAAGCAAATAAACACAGCTAATCACAGAAAGAATGTTTCTCGAACTCTCTATTACATAAAATGGCCGATCGTTTTAAAATGTTTCTCCTTTTATTTTAGTGATTAGCACTTTAGTAAATGATAAATCTTAAAGATTTGTTAAATCACATTAGAGTTTTCTATTTTTTAACAAAATCCCGTTATTTTTTTAAGTTATTTTAAGGAGACACGTGAATTGCTAGGTTTTTACAAGCAATCTCATTTTCCTCTAAGTGGTGGGGCATATTATTCCAGCACAGACATACACCACACTAGAATTGTACCGTAAATACTTCTAGTGAGCTCCATTCCTTTAAATTGGGTAATACCTATTTAGCAGGAGTAATGTAGTGATATCTATTTGAAAAATAGCTATAGTAAAACGGCATGAGCATAGAATGTGCTCAGGCTTTTCGAGGAGCCAGCTACTTAGTATAAGAACATACTCTCCTTAAATCCTCTGTATAGATCCATTTTGGCAATGGTTGTAGAAATCACAGAGCTCTGCCTATGTAATAGGGAAAATGGCAGAGTGGAAGGCTGAACACCAAGAAGAAAATTTTGCTGGTAGGAAACAAATTAAGATACCCTGTTACAAAATGGAGAAATCAGACCTTTCGTACTGAAATAAAGCAAGAATTCAACGAGTTCACGTCTTTATTTCTGGTATGACATAGTATAAGGAGATTCTATTTTGTAACAAATTCCAGTCAAGGGGATGGATAGATGGACACACACCCATTATGTGCAAACAACTCTCTCTACAACTACTATAAAAAAGAAAATATTTGTTAAATGTTTAATTGTTTTTAGCTAATATTAATCTGAATTATAACTCAAACTAAATCCCCACTTTGTAATAATTTCTTCTAGAAGTTTTAGCAGTGCTCATGAGTTTATCAGTATTACAAGCTATACCAACTTGAACTGGTTCCAGACCATGAGGCCAAAATCCTACACTTATGAATCTGAGGCATGGTGGAAAGTGAAGGAGGCATGTTGCCTGCAGTTCAAGGTGGCTCAGAGGCCCAGGGAACACCACACTGCACTGTACTTTATTGTTGCTCCAAGTAGTAACTGTACTGCCACAGGTGCCTGCTGCTGATGGCAGCTTACATGCTAGGACATTGATCATCAAACCATAGCCCAAAGTCAACAGCCCATGCTTAGAAGACTGATCCGAAGTCCACCGAAGTGAATGGAAAGCCTCTGATTTAATTGGCAATTAATGGCCATTGAAACAGACCACAGACTGGCCACTCCTCTACCAAATCTCTTCAACTAGGGGTCATATCCTGACCTGTTACTGCCCAGGTAAGCTAGGGAAGACACGAGTGCTTCACTGTCCTTCCTATCCCTTCCTTTCTCCCCCGGGGTTCTGCCCGTCTTTCTGGCCCTGCACGTGGAACTGGAAGCATTTCAACGAATGCTCCCATGGATTCTATGAAGCTAGGTCAGTGTCTGGAGCAGGAGTAACATTGGGGGTTGATCGAGAGGTCAGTGTGAAAACCAGTGTTGATGGGGCCAAGCTGGGGCAATCAGTATAAGACTGGCCTTGTTCTTGCACAGAACTCTGGGCAGAAGGGAGGGGGGAAATAAACATAGCAGCCCTTCTGACCACAGCAGTAAAAATGCATGTCAGCGAACCTAGGCTGTTGTGTTATCCCTTGTTGCAAACAACTCCACTTGGGCAGCTGCCCAGAGCTGGAAAATGGACGTTCCTATGTCTGAGTGACAGGACCACTTGTGGTGATTGAAAAACAACCTCCACAGGTAATCTGCCAGTGTATTTTGAGCCCCCGGGCCATGGGCCCCCAGACAGTATTGCTTCCCAACAAAGCAGTGAGGACCAGGCTTCTCCCTGCTCTTTTACATAAAACACAGCAATCATATTGTCGATCAGCACCAATACACCCATTTGCCTGATGTGAGAAAGGAACTCTATGCAATCTAAACAGATGGCCCACAGCTCCCTGATGTTTATGTGTAGACTGAGATTTTGGGGTGACCAGAGACCCTATGTCTGCAGGTGTCCCAGATGAGCCCCCAACCCCACGTCTGAGGTATCCGTCACTAAAGTAAGAGTGACGAGGTGGGGCAAAAGCAACTCCCTTGCATACACTGGGCAGATGTGTCCACCAATCTCGGAAGGTTAAGATGTGACTTGACATGTGCACTAACATGTTTATGTGGTTCTTTCTTGCAGAATATACCTCTGCCACCCAGTCCTGAAGGAGTCCGAGGCGCAGTTTGGTGTACTGGACCACATAAGGGCACACTACCATGTGCCCCATCAGCCTTAAACAGCCTCTCACCACAGTGAGAGGATAAGCCTTTAAGTTCAGAATGAGGCTTTGCATCGTACGAAATCTTATCTAAAGCCGTAAAGCCCTGGCATCTGTCGAGTCCAGGACCACACCAATAAACTCTGTTTTCTACACTGTAGACAGGACTGACTTGTCTGATTTGATCAGGAGGCCTAGTGTGTCAAAGGTGGATCAGATTATGTGAATGCTGACCACCGCCAGTGACCTGGATTGACTTCTTATCAGGGGACATTGGCTGCACAGAGGCTTGTTGTGGGGTTCTGGGTGCAACGGTAACAGGACTCTTCAGGGGTCCAGGTGAAGGTGGTTGAGGCTCAGCTGGTGTCGGGTGCTTGGGTGGGAAGGTCTGGGTGTGGGGGGGCTCAGTGGTGGGGTCCAGATGCTGGGGGAGTGGGGTTCAGTGGGGTGGAAATCCAGGTGCAGCTGGTTGGTGCTCGGTACAATGGGGATCCAGGTGCAGGTGGCTCGTTGGGGTGGTCCAGGTGCAGCAGGAATGGGGCTCATCAGGGGGATTATGGGTGTGCGGGGGTGAGGCTCGGTCAGTGCAGCAATTGTGGGGGAAGGGGGAGAAGAGTTTGCAGAGCTTCCTATAGCTGGGAGAGAAATCTGAGGGTGGGTCTGACATAACCCCAGATGCCATACAGGGAAAGAGGAAGTCCCGTCTTCCCCAGCCCAGCCAGGACTAGCAGCTGAGCCCGGCGCAGGGTGGTAGTCACCAGCTGGGTCTTTCCCAGTTCCACCACCAGCTCCACAGTGATTTACATCTCTGCCAGCTGCCTTGGGCACCCAAAACATACTGGTAAGGAGGGTTGCATGACTGCTCTTGTGGCTTCCCTCTGCTTCCACATCAGAAAGTCCTTTTTCTGTAGGGAAGCAAAGAAATCTGTGGGGGACATAAATTCTGCACATGCACAGTGGCGCAGAATTCCCCCAGGAGTAAATACACTACTGACAGTGGGCTAAATTCTGCTCTTGAGTACATTCACACTGCAATTAAACACTTCTGGCTAGCCCATGTCAGCTGACTCAGGCTCATAGGGCTCAAGATACAAGGCTGTTTAATTGCAGTGTAGATGTTTGGTCTTGAGCTCCAGCCTGAGCCTTGGGACTACACGAGGGGGGAGAGTCCCAGAGCCCTGACGCCAGCCCAAGTCTGAACTGTAATTAAACAGCCTTGTAGACTGAGCCCCCCCCCCCAACCCAAATCAGCTGATATGGGCTGGCCGTGGGTGTTTAATTTCAGTGTAGACATACCCTTAGTTGTACCACTAAGTTTGGCTTACCTAAGTTGTAGAAAATTTGGTATAGTACCCTCAAGCTACAAAAGTTCTTTAGAAATTATATTCACAATGGGCTCCAGCGTGGTTTTATTTAAGTTATAAACTTAGCATAGAATATTTTAAAAGGAGAAAGACAAAAAAGGTATAATAAGGATCCAATATTCAATAGATATTGCACAAAAAAACCTTTTCTTTGTTAGCTGTATCCTTACTGAACCTACTTCTAATTTTAAATCTTAATACTAGCATAGCAAAATTCTCATGTGGTCTCACATCTCTATGGAAACGTTTCTTAGCAATCAGTTGCCCATGAAGAAAGATTCCAGTCCTCCTTGGCCACAGGCAGTATTTGAGCATTCCTAACATGTGATACAGAGAAATGTATTAACCCTATGTCACTATACAAAAATCTTTTCCTGGTACCAAGGAATTCCAGAGCATACTTTAATCCTTTTCCCATCCACCATCAGAAACTGCTGTAACAGAAGAGATAAGACTCTAAATTCACCTACTAAAACCAAAACAGGAGGTCAGGACTTTTCTGCTAGAACGATATATAATGTCTGTTCCAAAACTCAATTTGTTACAACTCTTATTTAATTTTCCCCATATTTGTAATCTAAAGATAACCAAAGTTGATTACAAATTTTTTTAAAAAAGAGTTTTTAAATACACATTCTTAAGTTCTGATTGTGTAACACACCTAACTGAATAATAATGTCAGAGCAGATCTTCAAAATAAAAGATCTTTGCAACTTGTAAA